AAGTCAGTTATATTCTATAATAGTAAATCAAGACAGTGAGCGTGGGCTACCTGTGGTCCATGTAGCCAACCTAGAGTTGGGGGAGGGGAGAGACGGTACCAAGCGTGCGCGCGTTTGATATCAAATGTTCCYGTCAAATCCGCAGTAATAACTCCATTTTTAAAAATAGATACTATACGAACGCGTACAATTCAAATTCGTTAACTTTTGGATTTCCCCCTAAATTTTGTGTCAATCATACCCTTGCAATCAGAAWTTTTTTAGATTTACATATTTTTTAGATTTCAGATTATTATTTTATACTAAGAACCAAAGACAATAATATTTGTTTAACGCGCTACAGCTCACAAGTTGAAAGCTTTACGGTTCGAAAGTGTTTGACTCGACTCTGTTTAAGCTTGACTCAATTAAATGCGAAGAATAATAGAGAGTAATAGAGAATAATAAGAGTATAGAAAAGAATCAGCTGATCAAACAGCTCGATAATCCTCTTTCACCTTGAGAGTAAAAGATTTTAATCCTTTATTGGGTTGTAGCCATGACAACCTGCCTACAGTACTTAACCAAAAAGCCCAAAACATACACTCTTTGTTGTGAAATGTGATCGTCCATACGCTCTCTCATACTCCCGGTTGGAAGCAAAACAACTTAATCTTTCATTAGAAGTAGAGGACTCACTCAAACAAATTTTAAAACGTCAAAGTAGTGAATTTGTCTTCTGTGTTACCCCTTCATACTTGCTTACTTTGCTTGTATTGCGGTTTTCTTTTGTTGACGGCTACAAGCTCAACACTTCCYCTCTCCTGAAGTGTCTCTCTATTTATCCCCTCCTCCTAACCCTCAGGTGTCTTTCTATTTGTCTCCTCCCCCTTACCAAGTATCTCTCTATTTGTCCCCTCCGCCTCAAGTATCTCTCTATTTGTCCCCTCCCTTTACCCTCTGGTATCTCTCTTTTTGTACCCTCCCTTTACCCTCAGGTATCTCTCTTTTTGTCCCTTCCCCCTTACCCTCAGGTATCTCTCTTTTTGTCCCTTCCCCCTTACCCTCAGGTGTCTTTCTATTTATCCCCTCCCCCTTMCCCTCAGGTATCTCTCTTTTTGTCCCTTCCCCCTTCCCCTCAGGTGTCTATCTGTTTGTCCCCTCCCCTTATCCTCAGGTATCTATCTGTTTGTCCCCTTCCCCTTACCCTCAGGTGTCTCTCCGATTTGTCCCCTCCCCTTACCCTCAGGTGTCTATCTATTTGTCCCTTCCCCCTTACCCTCAGGTGTCTCTCTATTTGTCCCCTCCCCTTACACTCAGGTGTCTCTCTATTTCTCTGCAGGCATCTACCCAATTTCGTACCCAGAGCCCACGTTCCATATATCGTTTCTCGGTGCTGGCCAAGAGGAACGTGGACTCTTGGTACCTTTTCCTCCGCAGGATCTTCCTGTCTCTTTTTGCTCCCTGGGCTTCCTGTGGCGAGGACAAAAAGACGAAGGGGGAAGGGGGAGGTGAGGAAGAAATAAATTTAATACAGGAATGCCAACAGAGAATATAAAATAGGAAGCTAGATCTGGGTTTATGTATGTCGGATTAATCGGTGACATGCAGCCAAAGTAAAACAAAAGAAAACAGTGTCTAATACTATCCAGGTGATCTGAAATCTAGGAACGCAATGCATTGTTTGTCACAGCGAAGGTATCCAAGTGCTTCTTGATGAAACGAAATATTTTCCACCAACAACGACAAGATATGCTATCTACTTCTAAAAGTTATTTGGTAAATTTTTACATGGATGTGCTTTAATTTCTTTATTTTCAAGTTAAAGACAGTTTTTTTYGAGCCAAAAACTTGGAATTAGGAAATCTTGAGCTACGAACAAAATGTTTGCTGATTGGCTAATTCGTTTGGCTAGATCACCTGGACGTCTAATACTCGCTATATCTTTTCACGGGCCCTGGAAGGATTAGGGGTTCCAGTTCAGTCGTTTTCCGGTTCGGACGTAATATTTACGCTTTAAAACAAAAACCTACGCACCGTTATAGCTTTCAGAAACGCTCTCCACTAGAGACTTTTGAAAACGATCATTAAAGAAAACATAAAGAATTACGACTTGAAGCAAAGGGAGTAAGCCGACGTCATTCACATCCGCACTTCTGGGACCACTTCTGGTTTAGTTTTTTTTT